GTTTGTTTTAATCATTAAAGCAAGCGATGATTTATATGTATAGGATATCGACCGAGTACGAGGTCTTTCTGTTTAGGAAAGACCTGGTCACAAATTTCATGTGACACCGAGAGCGCGTACGATGTACGAGGCCGATATCCAATTTACACCGTTAAAACTATATTGGCTTGAGCAATGGCTGATCCGAAGCATTCGATGAATTGCACAAATATTATTTTTAACACAACACATATACAGGTAAGCTTTTATCAACGTTCTGCTTAAATACAATATATCCTTTGCTTTCCCCTTTAAAATCAAAAATCAAAAAATCTAAATGTGCAATTTGTCAATAATAAAGTGAATAGATCTGTAAAAGAAGGTATGTTAAAGAATGAATAATTATGTTCATAGTATGTCGTATCAGACGATGCAGATTCTAGGACATTTGCCCCCGGACAGTTGACCCTGGACGTATGTCCCCTTTTTTGCCGTTGTGTCTTGTGACTTGTCATCTCGTGTATAGATTTTATGTATGCCAATGGAAACATTTTAGTTTTATTTATTTATCGATGCTATTTTGACTTTCACAAAATTTGCGCGAGAGTTTTTGTGTATTTAAGTACAATGAAATTTCGACAATAGGCGATGAATACTGGTAGCAAACAATTCAACAATAAAATATTTTTTTAAAACAGGGAGTGCGCCCCTTCCAAAGATATGAGGGGGCAAATGACCACCATTGCAAAAAGGGGGCAAACTTCCGAGGGGGCAACTGTCCGAAGGGCAATATGTGGATACCAAGCAGACCAAGAAAGACTTACATATGCATATTGTTGACAAGTGTGAAATATATTAACCGAAACTATATTTTATATAGCATATTATAAAGTGTTCTAGAATAAAATATGATCGTTCATCAAAAAATGTTTTAAACTAAATCACTAATAACTTTATTTACATTTTAAAATCGTAATGAGTATGCTGTGATTTGTGCTATATAGTTTCATAGATATGAACTTAAAGCTTCCATTTTGTTATATTATGAACTTAATGACAGAATTACTATTACTTTAAAAAATGACGCGATTAAATAAATGTTAAATGTGTCCTAACTTTGACATGCTATACATTATTTTTATTGAAAGATTTAATATAGGGTTGCTGGAATATTTGCTTAGTTAAAAGGGTTTTAATTTTTGATTGCATTTCATGTTTTCTTTGTCTGCACATAGGCAGGTCTATTTTTCACGTGTATTTCATGACCGGGTCTGTCTGACTAGAACAGACCTGTGCACGTGCAAAAGATAGACCTCATAACGGACTTTTTTTTGTTTAAACAGGTCTATCCGAAAAATATAGACCTGTCACAAACAATAGAGGAGGTGTGTAATGTAAAAATAAAATAGATACTAAAATGTTGATTTTTGAACTTATTTCTTTAGCTCAATACTTCCTGTTTTATGAAAAATTCGTCTGAAATGGAGGCTACCAGTGGGGAAAACAGATTTTGATATTATATATATATTGAGGAAATTTCACTTAAAATGGTATTTTAGCATAAAATAAAAAGAAAATGTGTTTGTTTGTCGTGTAATATGTAATTTCATTTCGTCCCATGAACTTTCAAAACCGTACTCTCACTCGTGGCTATGCTACTCGTGAGAATACTGTATTTAAAGCTCACTCGATGAAATGAAATTTCATCTTACACAAAAAAAAACAAATATCCTCTAAAAACAAACAAGTATCGTCTATATATAAAGTTTAGAAACTATATGAATGGTTTGGTAGTCTATAAAACTGCTATTAAAGCATATTTCATCAGACATTGGAGTGGGGATTTTCCTATTGACACATAAATTTACAATTCTAATGGAAATCATGAAATAAAAGATAACTCGGGATAATTATGACAATTATGTGATCATGATTTCAATCACTCACCCTGAAAAATGATTGAATAATGTTTTCTTGAAACAATCATACAACCTCTTTCAATATTAGTGTTCTTTATGTACCTCTTGCTGCTGTGGCATTTTTGGTAAAAAAACATTAATATTATATATGTATGAAGTTGGAAAATAGGCATTTATTTACAAAAAATAAATAAATAAAAAATAAATAAATAAAAAATAACTAAAAATAAAAACCAACAATGCTCAATATGAGTTGCAATTCTAAGTACTATCCGTTAAATATTTGAGACATCTTTTTTATAAATAAGAATCAAGCTTAATCGCCAAAACGTAAAAGTGCTTGCTGCCAGATGAGCCAAAATATTTCAAGAAAGTCAAACTTGGAAGAAAATGTACTGGGATTTTAAGAAAAGTAAACTGATTTAAGATTCAAGTGATAATTTACATGTTATGTTACATTTATGACTAATTTTGTCGTATTGGTCAACATATTTCTACTGTGTGGCTAACGCAGTAAAGGCTATTTTCTTGATCTCTTTTTTGGTAATTTATGTGTAAAGAGTAGATGCCGAGTACAATGTGAAAATTACATTTTCTGCTCCTTTCTTAAAATTTTGCGTTTTAATACATTTCCGAAATTTTAATAAAATTTAGAATGAATTTGAAGGTGTGCTGCTTTAAACTGGATATGTATCTTTTAGCATAAATGAACATGACAACGACAAAAAAAGTTGGTAGACATTTCTGAGACATTTTTTTATACAAATATGGACCAAAAAGAAACGAAAAGCACAGAAATCCATCCAATAATCATACAATATAGCAGTATATATTGTAAGTAATATTGAAGGTAACAAAACTCACTGAGTCACATGATTTAAAGAATACTTTGCTGTAGTCCAATATATACAGCTACAGACAAAGTATATTTATTCAGTTTTATGGTTTCCATGAAATTTAAAAGGTTTTCCAATATAAGAATACGTAATATGCATGCAAATTTTATCTTATTTAGTCAAATGGTTAAAGAGAAGATGCCATTGAAAACAGTTTTATGACTAACACGAACGTAGAACGATTAGTTTTATTCATAAGCACTTTGTGACCAGGCAATCTTCAATGAATGTTAAGAACCTATCTTAACGTTTTTTTTTTAGAGTCAAAGATATTTTCAATTTGTCCGGTATATAGAAATTTGAAATAACTTTGCCAGTAAAATACTTCTAAAACAGATTTTTTTCTAAACTTCTAATACTTTTATTTTCTAACCGTACATTGACCTTCGTGTCACTGGTAATGTACTTCCCTTAATTGAATGATGTTCGCAAACTGTTTACAAAAATGTTTACAAAATATAAACCTTGAAGACGATCTTGTCGTATTTTCAATTAAGTTTTAATTTTACCTACTTTTCTCAATACATTAATCAAACATTTCATTTAGTGAACAAAATGATATAATGCAAATTTGACTACATTTGAAAAATCAGTAATGAATTGTTACATGATATACTCAAAAACAACATTGCCCTCGGTGGTTCACGGCATTAAAAAAATTAAACTAAGATACAACCAATCCCTTTAGGTTATGACACTTTTGATTTGTCAGTTAATATATCAAATTTTCATCTTCAACAAGAGGGTGAAGACTTTTGATTGGTTCATGTCTTTATGTAAAGAAGAGCTTTAGTGACAAATTACTGTCTATTATAAAGAAAAGGAAGAAAAATGATATAACCTTACCCCATCCCTTTAAATAATGAAATATAAAAGCAAACAAAATCATTTCGATGACATTGATAGCCATACTTTATTTTGCTACTTTGTCTGTAAAAAAAAGGTGTAAAGCAACCATGGGGCTGTTGAAAAGTAAGTGCGCATCAATTGTATTGGTTCTGTGTTTTTCAGCTGTCAATGGTTACAATAGCAACAATAATGGTAAGTATAGGTGCTTTTTGTGCTTTTATATGCTACTGGGTATTTTCATTTCATTGGCTAACACCGTTATGTAATCATATATTGTGGCCTTTGTTCAATTTTTAATTTAGTAATCTAAACGTAATTGAAACAAAAAAAAAAATTTTTTTTTTAAATTATCCTGTTATTTCTATGATAAGGTGTTCAACAAGATGTTATATTTTTGATAAATATCACAACATAATTATATTTTTGTATGGTAAATAACCAATTATTCGTCGTTATGGTCATTTTACTACATGTATATGATTTAAGTGACGCACTATAAGAAATATTTCTGTTTAAGAACCAGATGAAATGCATTTATATTTTCATGATTTCAGGTCTTGGATATTTCCCAAATTTCCTTTCATCACCTTCTGTCAGCAAACATTCATCTAGCCAATATGTTTATCCGAACACCGTTCCAGTTTCCAGCTACATCAACCCGGTTCTGCCACTAAGGGTGCCTGCTTATTCTAACATCGCTTCTGCTCAGGGAATAGTGTATCCAGCGTTTATGCCACATGGAATATCTTTATTTAGAACACCTCCGCCCCATACTGGACATTCTATTCACAAAAATGTTTATAATCACAAAGACGTTGTGACAAAGTCAGTTTTATACTCTGTTTTATTGTCACAAATCTTAAGAAAGATATGATAAGCTTAAGAATCTGCCTTGTTTTCTCACTATTTATTGCTTCATTTTGCTTATTTTAATTAACTAGTATTTATTATTTATAATTATTTTGTATCAAATATATCATATACGTCAACATTTAAATGCTATGGTTATGCTTTAAAAATAAAGTTAAATTATTATTAAACAAATTTTGTTGTTTTCTTTTGCTTTCTTATGACTTTTTGTATCATGATTTAAAAAGAAAATATTAAAGGAACTCCACTGAGGTCCAAAAGCCTTAAAACGTAAAATATGAATTTCTTACATAGATAGCCACTAGGGCACTAATAATTCAAAGATTTGCGATATATAATTAAAAATTATACCAAATACGACGTGTCTTTTTTAAAATTCTTCCAATAATTTGTTTTAAGGTCACGTGCTTAAATCAGTAATCCAAAAATTATTTTTTTCCTAAAATTCAAATATTTTCACTTGAAGGTGAGCAGCTGTGCATGTTTACTTAAACATTCAATCGGAACTTCTCGGCGATATTAAGCATGTATAAAGCTGAACAGTTACCATTGCAGTTAAATGGATAAAGAGTGCTTTAAGCGGTAATAAAAATGTCTTCATAGGAAATACTAAATCCATTTATAATTCTTCATTTCAACACATGTAACTTATAATATTTTTTTTCACACCAAAGAACCGAAGTTAACTGTTGAATCCGTTTAGTTATAATATTCTTACACCTATGACAGTATGTTATATTCACATGTCTAAAAATGTGTTCGCAAACACCAGCTGTACCAGGGCTTAGCACTTAATGCTTCACAAATCAATTTTTTTTAATTCTTTAGAAATGTCAAACATGTGTTTAATAATGGATAAAGAGCATATTTTATGTTTAATGACTGTAGAAAGTAATGCTAAATGTGCAGTAATGTGTCGTTAAGGTATCAAAATGTGAATAAATTAGTATTTTGACTTCCAGACGGTTCGAGAAAACTAGATAAGAAATCACATTTAGGTCGTGCCTATAAGCCAGTATTTATGAATGAGAATTGAAATTATTACTAAAACGATATCATTTAATACGAAAGCTTGTCTATGCGTTGTTATTCATTTCTGGTCCTCAAAGATTTTGATTAATGTCCTTTTAGTGTTGATTGTTGAATCACATTTAAGCCGGTGCGGGGGGGGGTAAAGATGATATATATTACATTTTCTCTAACGATATGATTTAAATTGATAGTTCATCTCAGGGTTATACATATATATTTTTCTGGTCCTTCAAGATCATTGGTTACTGTACTTTTAGTGTTGATGATTGAATTACGTTTAAGCCGGTGCTGGGGGTAAAGTTGTTATATATTACATTATCTCTAACGAACCGACTCAACAAACCAAGTCTGCAGTTCTGAACTATTTACTTAGTTCCCATTGCTCTCGAAAGATTTCTCCTTCACATGCTTAAAAAAACAAAACAAGGTCAACAAGGAGGGTAGGCATTCTATAAACGCAACCTCCACACGACCGACAGAACCAGCGGCATGGAGACAAGCAGGACACCGAACAAAACAGGAAAGGACACATGGCAAAGCTCGGACGGGGTGATTTCTTTCATAAAACATAATAGGAATTGATAGAAATATTGACGATATAATATTTATTATATTTATTCTCAATATGAAGATATTAATATATTTATTTTTTATTAATATTTCATTATTGATAATATATTTGTACTTATTATCACACACCCGTGCCGATTTTGTGACTCCGTAAATATGGTATTGCACGGCCGTGCATTTTGAGAATGAAAAACAATAAAATAAAAACAAACCCAAACATGCAAGGAATTTTCTGAGAGACATTTCTTTAATAAGATACATAAACTTTAGGAATGTTTCTCGTTCAACGAAATACAAACATATTAATTTCCTTTTGTCAATTGCTATATTCTCTTTAATTATACAAAACATCAGATAGATTTTGCAGATTTAATATTCATTGTTTTTTTGACCATTGTGTTGCCACTGCATTAATCATACCCTTCTCGTCCTTTGAACACAGACTACTTGGCATTTATTACAGAATGCAATTAAAAACCTTTGTAGAGCAGCGCATGTATAAAATATATGTGTTCAGAGTTAACTAAGAGACCCTTACGACCATAAGACAATATTCCAAGCTACAAGACCAACGGATTGGCACCTAGTGGGGCACCGGACAAAATGGCAAAAGCGGTAGAGTAGAAGGGCATGTATTGGTTTGTTGGTTTGGTTTACGGCAAACTAACACAGTATAGATCATATTGCGCCGAAACAGGAAACATGATTTTGGCTAACCTCGGGAGTTACTTCAAAGTAACATCAGGGGTCAAAACCACCTCACATACTGGAGGTAAGAGATACATAGACTCAAGTTATTCGTTTGAAAATTACACGCTATTCCACTTGGATAAATTTAACTGGTGCATTATTATTAACTTCTTATCTTATTAAAAAAAACTGTCCTGTCCTTTTTTGTCAAAGTTTTCAAATCATTTATTTAATTTAACTTTACTTTTTAAATATTCAACATTTATTTTGTAAAGTAAATTAATGAATTTTTCATGTTTTTCAAAGAAGCAAAAAGATAGATTCTTCATACTTTCAGATATAAGTTTATGATCCATAATATTTAATCGACATCAATGTTTTATCTGAAAAAGAAATTATCAGTATTGAAATTTTGAGGTACCAATCTTAGTGAACAAAACGTTGGAAATTTTAATTAGCAGACGAAAATATGGTCACATGGTCAAAGAAAACTCGATTGGCACCAGGTGCATAATATGGGTTATGATACTATCATATTTAAATTCATTTACGAATAAGACAATGCACTCAAAATTTTTTCCTGTCATTTTTAACAACGGTTTATTGAAATTTCAATTTTGAAACTGCTTGCCTAAAAACACATCATTGTAAAATTAAGTTAATTTCATTCAGTTCATTTTTTCAATCAATTTCAGCTGAATTAAGATATGACCTTGATGCCAACATGTGATATTTAGTGTACTAATGAATCATATTTATTTCATAATTATCAGATAGGAACATATACATCAAAGAACACAATCTGAAATAAATGATGGATGCAAGAAGGTATTATCTTTGCCAAGGTTGCTGTAAAGTATGTAAAATAAAAAGAAATATTGTTATGTAACAATAAATGAAATCATAACTGCACCTCAGATTTGAGTCTGCTTTGCTCGACGACAATGTTACTGTTTAAGGCAACTACTATAGACGACCCGCTAAGATGGTTTACAAGCATGAACATTAAAAAAAAATAGCATGGGTGCAATAAACACGACTCGGTTGGTTACAATTATTAGCAGAAATTCAAGGAGAAATCAGTCTCATAGACAATACCAAAATGTTTAAACTGCAACAAAAATAATCACAATTGCTTCATAGCAAAGTAGGTACAAGATGCATGGGGTCCTTTTATATATTTTTTTTTACACTTTATACAGTGTAGTAACATGGCATATTTAATAATTTGTATGTATAAAAATTATTTTCATGAGCCAGTGAGTAATGTTTCATCTTTGATTTTACTGTTTGAATATATAACCATACTTAAACCAAAAAAGGAGCAGTTGTTACTTGTTTTTTCTGTGAGAAAATCACATTATATTATGATTTTATTGCGCTTTAGTTTAACGTTGGCAACCCTAGTCCAGCATGTATCATTATGATTCTATGCATTGGACCAGAACAGACCAAGATCACCATTTTGTCCATGGTTTGCACTGGTCTCTTAAGTCTGTACATGAATTTAAAATTTGCCTCACAAAAATAATGAATGGTTTTCTCTATATTGTCTATAAAAGATATAAAGTATTTCAAGCGTAAAATATAGTAACTCTTAATACGCATGAAAAAAAGTTCAAATAACAATAAGGTGAAATAATCACATAACAATAAGGTGAAATGAGTACATTAGCACTCAGCTTTATGTTTTACTACTAACGAGAAAGATTATAGTGAATACTAATTTTAACGTGAAAGAAGGTAATTGGCATTGCGGACATAATGTCCTAATAATACAGTATGATAAAATGTACGAAAACACCAGAAAAATAATGAATGGAATAATATAATCAATTGATTTATAAGCCGTTTTAATACGTAAGTAATTATCATGGCATATTTATAGTGGTTTTATTTCTCATCCATTTAGTCTGAAATTGACGGACTTTCATTCCTGTAATAAATTGCATTGCATTTTACCGATATAACTGTAATAAATGGCATTGAATTTCCCAAATGTCTGTAGTAAATGACTTTAAATTTCTCCAATAATTGTCATAAATGGAAATGAATTTCACGAATTTCTGTAATAAACGACATTGAATTTCACGAATTTATTATTATAATTATTAAATTTCACCAATTTATGTAATAAATTGCATTGATTTTCACCAATATCTGTTAAAAATGGTACTGAATTTCACAAATATCTGTAGTAAATGGTATTGAATTTCACCAATATCCGTAATAAATGGCATCTTTTCGAAAGGTAGTTTTGTGGTGATAGCCGTATTTTATATCGGTTTAATAAATTCGATTTTTTTCTATTTCAAAACTTCTAAAAATGTATTAATCGCTGAATAAAGGTACTTCTATACATTGCAGTTTCAAAGTCAACAAAGATATCTTAACATAAACTTGTCTCAACAGCAACTGTGTTGGCCGGCCAATGACATTTCCGGTCAGTAACACATTTGCCGATGGCCATTACACAAAATGTTCACATTTTCTGTAACAGTCACGTAAAATCAAATGTCAAACGACAGATTTGGATGACTCAATTAAAAATAATGACAAGGTAAATGGCTAAAGATGACCACTTTCTGGGACGGTTTTGATTGGCTAATAAAAATGAAGCACACGGAAAGGGTACGGCTGACTAAGATTTTGGACAGGAAGTATATTCTTTTCTAATTTTCGAGCACTCCCTATCATCTTTAATATAAATACCCAACTCAGAAATTTATGCTATCAAAACAAAAAGGTCTCTAGTATCTTATGTATTCGTCTTCAAATATTCACATAAAACAAATCATGGATTTCACAAGATTTGCTTACTTTGCAGTTCTGTTAACCGTGTACATTTGCTCAGCTCAGGCATATAATAGCAAAAATAATGGTATGTATATTTAATTATAATTAATAATTGAATACTATTTTAATTCATATAATATTAAATGTCTATTTTAATCTTAAAATAATACGCCTTTAATTTGTTTTTGTTCGGGCAAATGTTATTTAATTGATACCTATTTTAATCATAAGAATAAATCACATTTATTTTTACAGAAAGAGATATTACAATAACTCATAGGAACGAACAGCTTCGTTATTAAATAAAATTTAATCTGGATAGTAAAAGATGAATCGTAAATTAAATGAATCATATTTCATTAGCTGGAATAAAGTACAGTTTTAAATTGCATGAACTAAATATTAGTGTTTTTCACGATTCCCATAAAATAAATAATGATAATAATAATAATGATAATAATAAAACAAGCTGATTTTGAAAATATGAAAAGAAAAATTGTATAAATATTATATATATGTATATATAGTAAAATGATATAGATCAATTATTCAAAAATACAGCATAATTGAAACGTTTTCCTACCAAATTTCCTTAGTTTTAACTGATTTTTTTGTGATATTTCATCGAAGTAAAATGTACTAGTGTTGACTTTCCTCAATGCAATCGGTGTAACAAAATAGTCAGAAAACGCAATTTCTAATACTTGCAAACTATGAATGAATAAAAACGCTGCTTGGTACATTTTATTTGATAAGCATTAATGTTACGAAAATACTTAGTGTGTACTTCATGGATAACACATATTTATTACAAGCATTTCTCAATATTATTGTTTATATTTTGTCATACTAATTTTAGAATTGTTATGATTTTTATACTCCGGACAGCAGAGACGACAAATGCTTTGCGTTCGCTTCTTTATCAATCGTTCTTGAAAAGTAAGCCAGTGCTGAAAGGGCGTTAGATATGTTAACCTTTTCATCAAAGCTCATCAATTTAATCATGCTTGCAATATTATAAATTATGTTGTGCATCACTCAAGAGAACTGAACTTTAAAAATGGTAATGATGCCGACACAGTTACAATTTATTTTTATCATTTCAGGTCTTGGGTTTTTCCCAAGCTTGCTCTCTCCTCAACTGATAAACAGACAGACGTACAACTCTTATGTTTATCCGAACACCGTTCCGGCACCAAACTACATTAAACCGGTGCAACCGTTTTTTCCCGCAGCAATGACAGCCACTTCGTACTATGCACCGGCTCCTAAAATAATGTATCCAGCACTTATGCCAGTTTCCAGGTTTGGAGCATACCCAGTTCATGCCGGGCATACAGCTTATAAGCCATTCAATAACCACCAAGATGTTGTTACAAAATCTGTGCTAACCTCTGTAATTTTGTCAGAAATTTTACGCAGAATATAAAACTTACGAATGGCTGAAAGATGAAAACCATGGGAAACTGTGATATTTAGATGTTTAAAAATCATTGTTATTTATTAATTGTAAGATGTTAAATCATTCAAAAATCATAATTGTATTGAATCGTCATTGCATTAGTTTGAAAGAATGGATGTATATTTATTTTTTAGTGCATTGCTATTTATTTAAACAATAACATTAGTCAAAAAATGTTTTGTTTTAACTACTATTAATAAATCGTTGCATCGATACGGACAGAGTTTTTTTTATTTATCTGCTTGTAAATTTAATTGTCACACTTGCTTAAACAAAGTCCTTTTCATATATGTTTATTTAAAAAAAAGTTTAAAATGGAAAAATTATTGAAAACGCCAAGCACGACAAGGCCGAAAATATTGCAGACTCGGTCGATGAACATTAAGACAACGGGGAACGAAATCTACCATCCATGCCCCTTATTCTGCCTTGTGTAGAATTCACCTTTTAATTACAAAATGTTTTACTTATTTTAAATACTTTCCTGTTTTGTATACACGATTTTGATGATCAGTTTGTGACATTTTTATGTCTCTCCGTGAAAAGTGTTGTTTGATTCTAAAATTGATGTCTTATTTATATTAAAGAATAACTCCGGTTACATGATTAATGAATGTTCATCTTTTCCAAAGAATGGCTTTAAATTCAAATCAAGTTAAAAAGGCAAACATGTTCATGGTTAAGAAATTTATTTGTGGAAGAGAAAGCATTTTAGTTTGAAAGAATTTCAACGGTAAACTGCTCAGAGATGAATTTTCAAAGTTTATCTAAAAAAAACTTTTAAGTGTTCTTTTTAGATGAGATTTTATTCTTTTTTGCAAAACATAGTATCTACGATACTTTTATATAATTAAACAATTATGAATAATTGAAACTGATCAATGTAATGAACATTAACTCGACCGATCATTTCTTTTTTTTCAGAAGTTTTTAATATGCTCGAATTTCTTATACAAATAACATGTAAAAATAATTTCAAAATTTAAACAAATACTATTTCATATTCCAAATATATGACACCATTTGACTTCTGTTGACCTCACAAACTATCACAACTATAAACATTCTTTACAGGAAAACGTTTTTACCGAACAAAATAACATAATTGCCTTATTTTGTATTAAGAATTTTGCCGACGAAGTAAATGAGATGAAATAATAAATGAATGTGTTCTGTGCTGAACTAATGATTCAATCAAGTTTCACTGAATTGTAAGTTGCTAAATATAGCTCGTTAACAAGGTCATTTACAGATGATAGGTAGGTGATTGACTGGCTTCAGCCGAATGTTTCATTGAATCCAATACATAGCAGAGCAAAAGAAAGGTTTTTTTTATTTATGTTCTGGTAAATTGTGCTAAATAACTCAATCAAACTTCATTGAACTTTTGATTAGTACATTTGCAATGGAAAAAAATAAATATTACTCAACTTTTAATGCAAATCCCTTCATTGTAATAAACCATTGTTCGTTTATCGGCATTCTTTTTTTGATTTAAAGTCACTGAACCCAGAACATTTTTTTTTTAATCATAAATAATTTATAGCATCAATCGGTATAAAATAAAGCTTTTTATACCTCCATCCGAATTCTGTACAAAAAAAGTTCATCACAATAAAAGAAGATGAAAACATGTGCACCAAGCTTCAAGAGAAAATTGAAGACTCGGTTTGATGAATAGGCTTTGAATCGCGTATTATTCCTCACCCACATCCCTCCCTAGCACCGATTCAAGCAGTTTCACTTACACGCACTTTGACAAGTTACATACCACGTGAGTGACCAAAGACAGAAACATGTTGTTAAATAAATCAAATTAAATGAATTACATGTATAGCATACGTGGATAGGAAACAAGCGGATGATGACTTCAATGCAAGTGGTAGTAGGTTTGAGCAATGCAATATTTTTGCCTCTGACAAAAGTAAGATAAAAAAAAGTGGACTCGAGATTTGTTTTAATAAAATTCACACCAAACGAATGATTTTTCTTTCACAAATGAAACAGAAAAGATTGAGAAAAACTGAAAAGGCCATTTCATATTGAAAGTTAACTAAATATTTTTTCATTTAGGTTTTATTAAATTTCTTTATAAAACACAGGATGACAAGCAAAATAAAATATTTTAAGTCATTTTAAGCGAGAGAGATTGAGAGTTAAGCAAATGTAAAAAACAACAACAACTAATAACAGATCGTAAGTGGAGAAAAATACAAAATAATACAAATTAGTCGAAATATAAAAGATAAAAGAAAGTCAAATCAGTATGACAAATCAATGAAAGTAAAAATATGAGAATAAAATATAGTTTTTAAAAATTTATAAAAAAAATTCGTAATTATTTTGAAATGTTAAATTAACATTGGTTCTTTAAAGACAACTGAGCTAGGACGTTAACCATGAAACAATTTCCAATTATCATGAATTATATACAATGTACTATGTGAATAGTGAAGAGTGCAGACCATGATCTTGGTCTGCACTGGTCACATGGGTAGAAACTGTTGCAGCCAGCAAGCAAAAAGCTAACATTCAACATATATGCACTATTGTCTATAACTAAAACAAATAGGGAGTTAAAATCAAAAAAAATTTCATTCGTAAATCGTTTAGTCATGCAATACAAACGCATAAAATTATATTGTTAGTAAAAAAAAGATTTTGACAGGTTATATGGCTCTATATAAAAATGGGAATGATCCGCTACGCGAGTGTTTTATTTCAAAGAAGCGTTTATAAACTACCGAATAACCTGTAACAAATTTATAACACAGAAAACTTTCATTTTAGAGAAAGCCTTGAAATTGTTTCATAATTTCACAGTTGCCGTGTCTATGGTTTATATAAACGTTACGGTCGACATTACAAATATGTACACAGTTTTATATGTACGCCTATTTTTCTTCACGTCGTGTAGTTATATCCTGTCCCATATCCTGTAGTCTGCGTCACAATAACGGGCTGATATATGCCTCGCTGAAAATAAGAATGGGCAAACTGAACAAACAGCATATCTTTTTCGAAGGTTTTAGCACCAGATTGTCCAATCTCTTACACAGTGATCTCCCTTTATCAGTACAGCGATCTGCCAAGGGAGGTAATCACTGTTAGACGTTTGCAGATTGTCGACTGTTAGAATGAGATACAGGCAAGCAGGAAACATACGAATTTTAAAGGGACTATTTTTCTGTATTTTTGTACTTGAACTAAAATGTTCATGAATTTTTTACCATTTCTAAAATGTTCCTGAATTTTGTGCCAGTACTAAATGAAAGTTCCTGCATTTTGTACCATTTCTAAAATGTTCCTGACTTTTGTGCCAGTACTTAAAGGTTCCTGAATTTTGTACCAGTACTAAAATGTTCCTTCATTTTGTACCAGTACTAAAATGTTCCTGAATTTTAATCCAGTACTAAAAGGTTACTGAATTTTATACCAGTACTAAAAGGTTCATGAATTTTGTATCAGTACTAAAATGTTTCTGAAATTTGTACCAGTCCTTAAATGTTCCTGAATTTTGTACCTGTACTAAAAGGTTATCAAAAGGTTTTCAATAAATTTATATGAAATGATATACGAATATAAATAATAAAAAAGGGGACATCTTACCTTAGAACGTCGTCGGCGTCGTGCACAGCAGACGATTGTCAAGCATGTCAGTCCAATACAACAAATGAGTGAGCCAAATACAATGCCAATGATTACTGCAGCAGCGAGGACACCAATACAGTCAGACTCATCTCCACATGGGTTGTATCCATTACAGACCAACCCATCACAGATGCAACGTCCATTTCCACAAGAATACTCACTTGCGTTACACTTTCCTAAAACAAAAAAATCGTTTGCGTTACACTTTCCTAAATACAAGCACTTGCGTTCATTTGCGTAACACTTTCCTGTAAAAACTTATCACTTGTGTTGCACTTTCCTTAAAATATTCCCTTGCCTTCAGCGATCGAGTTACCTCTTTCGGCTGTATACGGTACATCGCTCTATTGGTCCGAGCTTGTGCATGTCGCTAAAATCAGGTGTCAGCAAAGATGAAGGTTTTTTATTATCTATATATTTTGAAAGCTCTTAACCAAATATCGAAATGCAAAGATGAAGGTTTTTTATTATCTATATATTTTGAAAGCTCTTAACCAAATATCGAAATTCGGAGAATGCTATGCCATGTAAATTAATTAAGATTTCCAGAAAACTTGAAATTATAATTGTGTTTGAAACGTAGTTATATAGCAGCGTTTCCCATTTAGCGAATTAAGCGTTGAAATGGACCGTTTAATCAAGAAACAGCGATTCAGTTTAAAAAATAATACGTTTCTAGTAGATATAAGGTCTATAAATTAAAAATAAATTAAAATCATATAAAACATTAGTGATTAAAGAAAATATAGGATATTCGAACTTTCCTAACAAACTAACCAATGCTGTAATATGTCAGTAGCTGTGTGTAAATGCAACGCTATTCATTCAAATTGGGCTAAGAATCGCACAAAAACTTGATCTTCAGTTAAATAATAGTATTTTTCTTTACAACCCTTTGCTTTCTTCCATTGTTTTAGACTTAAAATGACCTCAGCGGAGGTCCTTACCAAACACAAACTTTTTCTTTAATTAAAGATTTTTATTTTTTCACAGTTGAATAATTTATCATTTATGTGAGTGAATTAGTCAATATTTCAGACAAGAATCATAGGGCGATTTGTAAGTAAGTCAATCGGTAGCAAATTCAAGTGCGCTGAATTACGAGTATGTATATTCCAAATTGCCAAAAACGGTACACTTATAGAGCCAAAACGGAAAAGATGAAAATCTTTGCATGCTCGGTTTGATTGAGTATATTCATGGCTGACGTGTAATATACAAATATGTGACGTCATATATTATCAGAACAAAGAAAAATGATAAACTGGACCTGTATGAAACTGTGTAATCACCATGTCAAAGCCCCTGCTCTGGTATTGAGTTCCGCTATGGAAATACAGGAAAAGATTGGATCCGTTCGTTACCCACACTGCATTGCTTATTGATCTCCCACAAAGATTCCCGGTTAAACCTGAATTTATAATTATATTCTTAAATCAAAAAAAAATAAAATAAATAAAAATAAAATAAGAGTCATTTTTACTGATCGCACATCTTCTTATCACTTTGTAGTCTTTGTCTTGCTTATATGTCCAATCAGAAGGCCTATCTGACTATTTTCCCAGAAAATGTTCCTAGCAGCGTTAATCAAACGTCGAGTCTATCTCAATAAACTCTTACAAAACGTTCGTCAACAACTAATTATGTAAGATGCTAAAAAGAAATTATGCAACGTCTAAAACAACTACACTTGGACTTACGTCCTTAAGTTTTTTTAAATGTTTTTTTTCTATCTAACTAACGTCTAACTCTTATTTACTTATTTTCATCTAAGTTAAATGACTCACAAATATAGTAAATGAAACATGAAACCAAATTTCAGGTTAAAACATTTGATGCATAAACGAAAACATTTGATACATCAAGGAGTAAAACGTTTCAAGACCCAGATTCAACCAAAAGATATGCAAGAAGCGAAAAGCACTCTATGTTGCAAACAGCTAAATTCTCTGACAGTCATAGTAACTCTGGTGACCCTTCGAAGTGAACTTCGAAAAAATTAGAAGTTGAATCGAGATAAAACGACGGCCATATTATATATTCTTAAGATAATAAACCACTTGGGCAGATGTTTACTATGTAACAGTACCATTCTCAGACACATGGTGCACTGTTGCATTTACAGTAAGAATAACTCCCATTGGCCTATGGAAAATTAAAATTTCAAAAATAGTAAGGAGTAATACAAGTCAAAAATTGTTAAAATATTCATGTTAATTAATTGTATTTTGTAAGACTGTAGATTAAAATTAATGTTTAAAGGATACCTTCTACATATGAAGCATTCATACGGGATCCATCATGCACCTGTAACCAATTTGATTGACAATCTGCAGGACCATCTTCTACGTCAAATTTCTGAAACAAACATGAAATTTTGGTGAAACATTTGTTCTGCTAATACGTCTGAGATTGATATTCCCTGTCCAACACCGTTTACATTAAAGCAAATGCAGCCAATCGAGATTTATTTTTAAAATTCTGATTACAGATTCTTTGCTTGAAATAGGGATAATAAGACAGCACAAAAGTGATACTGTAACAGTATTATGCTCCTCTCGAACTTGTATTGACTGAAGTCCTGTTTTACTGTAACATGACCTGACAAGAATGGAGGCGAATATCCGCCAAAAGTATATGTATCTTGATGACATGTTTATATCTGAATGGTACAAGTACATATGTTGCTGCAATGCAGTTATTGAGAAGCTCCGCGCAAAAGAGGGGTTAATTACAGATACCTTACTGAGTTATTCATGCACAGATGTCATTTTCTTTTTAGATTAAGTACTAGTGTACATTATCCATACATCCAAGCAAGAAACGCCGCAAGTGATGATATCAACTAGTAGACATCTGATGACCAGATATTCTTATAAACTTTTCAATGGTTAATTGGAATTTACCAGAATTGTACATGTATATCATAGATGAATGGGCGGACGAAAGGAACATTGGTATACTTGCTAGAGATAAGAATATCAAATGTATTTTCTTTGGAACATACAAAACAGAAGTCAAAATGAACAAAGTCTGTTTTTTTGTTATTAAAATTGTAACATATTACAAACAGAATATAACAATAGCAACAAAACGAATTAATATAATAATATTACATGCATTTTTATCATGTCAAATTAAGAAAAAGGGTTTCTTTTAATACAGAGGAGTTAAGATACAGTAGCTAAAATGTAAGTCCCAGATAAATACTGAAAGTACGAGTAGAACACACACTGGAATGAAAAATTTGTGATGAATTAAAAAAAAATCAGGATGTTTTTGTTATACGCGTTAACAAAAATAATGGTACATTAGAAATCATGAATAAATTTGCATGGCATGTTGATATAGTTAAATATTATTTATCAATGGAAGACTGTTACCTGAATTTTAGACAGATATGAGGAAATTCACTAAGATCATGTCCGTGCGAGTCAAAGCTACTTGACATTGGTTATAAATAAAGAGTTATTGTTAATTGATTTATTGTGAGATCAATCTACTATTTTCCTGAATCGCTTCAAAATCCTCGTCCAGTTTTAACACCGCATTTAAAAATTGCAGACCAAAGTTTCTAATGTTAAAATGTCACAGTATTCGGCAAATCAACATTCCACTGAAACCACCATAAAACCGATTGCCTTTAAACAAAATAGAATCAACTTCTTACAGCAAACATTCCAGAAATCAGGGTCAATTGTAAAAAATAATATTCATAAGTGCAATCAGAAAGCAGCTATTAATTTACTTGGAAAAAAACTACGGACAAATTAAATTTGAAGTCTGGTCAGTTTAATCTGTATCTATATATATTTAAAGGCTTTTAAGACCCGTTGATGTTCTTGTGTCATGTTCTTTGTCCGTTTTCCGTTAATATTTTGTTGTTTTGTCTGCAGTGTTCTTGTTGTATGTTTCGTTACGTTTCTGTTCTATTTCTTCTATCCGTCTTACGTCATTCATACTGAAATCTCGAGCACTTGGTTTGTAGGCAGAGAAGTATCTTTTTCTGTCTTCTTGTCTATAATGTTAATGTTATGTCTTCTATTGTCTATCCTATCAAGTTTGTCCGTTTCTTGTCTTGTCTTCTGACAGTAATTTGTAATGGTCTGCTCCATATAGTTATTTATCAAGTACTGTTTTGTGTTTTCCGTTTTGTGGTTTGTCTTGGTGCTATTCAGTGTCCTTTGGAATACTTAAGTTAGGAATGTTGTATATCCTGTTAATTCTTTTACTGTCTGTATTTGTTAACATATTCCGTTGTTGCGTTTTATGTTAGTACTTGTATTATTGGTCCACATTTCCTGTTCCGTTCAAGTGTCATCTTATCTGCATCGTTGATGTCCCTGTATTTTGTACCATTATGTCATCGAATTGTTCTCTTGTCTGTATCGTTCATGTTCTGTGTCTTGTTCCATTAAGTCGTTCTCTTTGTCTGCATCGTTCAGGTCGCTGTGCCTTGTTCCATTGAGCCATGCTCTTGTCTGTATCGTTGATATCCCTGTCTCTTGGTCTATTAAGCAGTCCCCTTTTCTGTATCGTCGATGTCCCTGAGTCTTGTTCCATAAAGTGTCTTGTCTGTATCCTCGATGTCCAGTCTTATTTTTCTGTTCCGTTTTGTGTCTTTTTTCCTGATAGTTTCTTTTTTGTACTCACATATATTTGATTGCAGTTTCGTGTCTTGTCGTCTATTCGATCCATAGAATCCTCCATTTTGTTGTTCTCTGTCGAGTGACTCTTTTATGTATGTCTATTTGTTTCGTTATGTCTCTCTCCACTTTTCCATTAGGTCTTTGGAATTGAATTCTGGTCCGTTTAATTTGTATCTGTATGTTTTAACTATTAGTCTCTCTTTGTATGTTCTATTCAGTTCTGTCAGTCTCGTAGTCAATTCTTTCTTTAAGTGGAGTAGCGGGGGATCGAACTCACGACCCCTTGTTTGGTAGGCAGACAGCGTTACCACTGCACCATAGCGCCCGCTCTGAATAATAACGGTTTTTGTAAGTCCTTTATACACCATTACTCCAATGGCTAACAAAAAAGGTAGTGCAATTAAATTTTAACACCTTTACTTAGGAAGCCAACCCACGTGGCTTTTAGTATACCGTAAAAGAGAATATAACTCTAATTAAGTAATATTTTATAGACAACTTTGCTGTTACTTTAAGATAATCTTGTTTGAAACCGAGACTGAATTTCGAAATTTTCAACAGCTGCTATGGTATCGCAAGAACACGTACCAATCTCCCGATTTCAGACATTAAAGGCGAATAATAGGGCTATTTTGCACAATGAAACGTTCCATGAAAAATGATCGTTAACACTGCAATAATGCTAGAAGCACTGAATGTAACGCCTTAATTAAATCAAATTCTATATTTTGAAGGCTTTTCGGACCTCGGTGGAGTTCCTTTGTGAAGAGTATGCAACAAACACGTTAAATATAGTCAATAGTTGTCAAGCTCTTATTCATTAATTTAAAGCACTCTTACCCTGAAGAAAAGCATAAACTGCTCATTGTATTTCGATGTAGTTATTAGTAAAGTACAGTCCATGCTTGGTTGAAAAACATGACTTGATGTTAATTTGAGCCGGATAGATCCCGTGTCAGTAAGGTCTAAACTGCCGCCACATTGTTCATCCATATAATCTGTAAACAAACAAAAATAGAAAAAATGATATATATATAATTTAGCAATGTACAGAAAGAACAAATCGCCTATAAAAAACACACAAAAAAACGACAATACAATGCGGACCTCTCCAGGCCTTATACCTTGAGCCTCTGAAATGTTTACACATTATCGTCGGTCCAAACAACGATAATTTCATGCGGGCATCTCAACCATTTTCTTGGGGTTAGTGCTTTGTGCCTTACATTTTAATACTGTAACAAAGTGCCTTCAAACTCTTGCAAGGCCTAATCCGCAGCGGAATCAGACAGATGGTTTGACACAGGAGAAAGGTGTGGGTTATTTTTTTTTTGCGAAAATTTATACACTAACAAATCACCGATCAAAAAAAAAAACAACACCAAACAATAAAACCAACAAAAAACACCCCCCAAAAAAAACAACAACAAAAAACAAACAAACAACAACTTGGAACTATTTTTCTTCAAACGATACCATGATCAGTAAAATAAACAGCTTAAGATTCCATTTATACGATTAATATATGTTTCATCAATTTTCGTGAATATATGTATAGCAGACAAACATTCCATACACACGTTATAAAATCAGCATAAATCTTCATTACATGAAGATAATTTTACCAACAAATCAGTACACTATGTATATCATCCTTATGTGAACAAAATACACTACAAAAAATTAATTTCCTTGACATATACAGCAGGACTTGATTTTGCTATCTTCGGACAGCTTCAATACTATCTATCTTCTTTTTTGGTGACTAATTTTACATCGTTATAATTATATGAAAACTTCACCACTGAGTTATTTAAAACTTAATCAACCATATACCAGCATTTAACATTTAAACATGAAAATAGTAAAACAGACTCGTAAAAGTACTTCATTATATCAGTTCATATCAAGGTAGTGTCTATTATAATATATAATATTTTAAATGAAATGGTATTATGTCTGTGAAACACGTGCAGTTTTCAATTCATTTAAACTGATATGTGTAGAATATATTTACGATATTATATTATTATTATATTACAGATATTATAAAACACCCTGTATTAACGCACAAAATTAAAGTGACATTATGCTCATTTTTTTCGTTGTCAGGTCGTGCTTAATTGATTTAATATTTCGAAAGATTGACTATTTTAATAGTCATTGGCCAAAAAAGTAATAATTAAACATGGAAAGTCAAATATTAAAACTGCCTAAAATATAAACAGACTGTCGCACTCTTTTTATCATTTGAACGTTTAAGGTACATTTTGAAGAATATTTATGAAATTTTCCATGAATCACGTAAGAGGTTATAGATTATTTCTATGAAGTGGAATTACAAATTAGAAACAATGTCAAAATATTAAACTTTTTAACCTGCTACACAATTTACACTTAAAAATCAGTCACTTTAAACAATTTTCCTTTTTCTTCGGTTTTAAATAGATATTGGTAAAAACTAAACTACTTTTGCTTTATTATAAATCATTTGAAATCTCAACTAAAGTTATTCACCTGAATGTACATGTAAAGTCTTAAATTAGTAACGATATCAAATAGCACTGCCATGCTACAATGTATATAAAGTATTTAATATCTGTCCTTTAACTAGGTGCCTATAAAGCAGTCTGTCTCCCGTAAAGAAATCTCTGAGCTTAAAATCAGATCTCAAGTTTTGATTGGACAGAAACTAGGACAGAATATTCATTAACCAATGAAAATCCTGAGATCTGAGACAGAAGTCAGGAAAGAAATAATAACCTCGAGGCTAGTTATCCGGAGTGAGATTTTTTTGTATATATATTTTCACTCGCACGATCTTAAAAATATCTAAAAATTAACCACTTCTTAAGCCTAGGTCACAAATAAGAAAATGCCGCCGGGCGGCGTCTGTTTCTCCAAAAAATCGCAATATCGGCCGGCGTCTATCGTCAGTGACTATCGGACGGCAGCAGCTGAAAATTTTGCTCATCGGGCGGGCGCCTTCGAGTTTTAAGTAATACTTAAAAGCTAACGGCGGCCGGACGATAATTTTTGGGGTCACTGAGTATAAATATCATCGAGCGGACATCGTTCGGACGCCGGGCGGCGACCGGGCGATGATTTTTTTTGATCGGGCGATTTTTTGTTCTACTAAAACAGCGTCCGATTTAAAAGGCGTCCGGGCGGACATCGGCCGGGCCCCGCCCGGTGCCTGAATAGAGCTTAGTAGTCAAACGATTATCGCCCGGTACCCGGACGATTCATGTACAGGCACAGGACGGTCATCGTTTTGTCATCCGGCGACCGGGCTGCTTGTGTTTGTTGTAATTTCAGCTTGAAGAAGTTGTAATTGCCTCAAAAATATATTTGTGAATTTCTTTTGAATACTAGTAAACATGAATTTTTTCTTCAATGTCCATGCGAATGTCTGATTGATTTTCGCCTTCTACGGCCTCGATACTGGCCGTTGGTGACTCGTTGTCAACAACACGGACCAACTCCTTGGCCTTCCCCTTGGGTTTGGCAGCTGACTTCTTTGCTGGCATAATTACAACTGGCTGATTTATCTAGGATGTCATTAAATGTAAAGTCATTGTCGCCCGGCGCCCGCGCGGCAACCGTCCGATTCCCTTTTAAATCGCACAGGCGCCGTACGGACATCGGGCGGCGACCGCCGGATCCGTTCAATTCTTTCTGTAAAATCCACTCGGCAAAAATCGCCCGACGACTGTTTCATTCGTGACCACGCAAGGTATCAGATTTAAAATCGCCCGGCGTCCACGACATCAAAAAATCTGCCGATTTTATAAAAATCGTTTAATCGGACGGCGCCCGTTTTATTTGTGACCTAGGCATTAGTGAGATAAATTCCATATCTTCTAAAATCAAGCAAAATTTAATGTTCTATATTCAATAAACAAAAATATATGACATGTTTACGCACATAACATTATATTTTTACTTGTAAGACCACAAATCAAACTGAAACAAACAAAAAACCTTACATTTTGGTAAAGCTGAAACGTTGGTACACCAGTGAGATGACACAAGAAACATCACAACCAAAATCTTCATTTTTGGATATTCCTGATCCTTACATATAAACTTAAGATATCACACTCCGTATAATGTAAAAAGCTGGTCGTAAATATTACGCGTTATGTTTTATTCAAGCATTGATAAATGTATGTTTACTATGATATGACAAAATTGTACAATGTAGTTTATTTTAAACCGGACTTTACCACAACACAGTATTAAATTTAAATGTGTGTCATAAACAGAAGGTTTGCACGTGATTTAAACCAGGAAGATAATTAACTGATGTCAAATATCTTCCTTATTCGTTTTTCTTTCGTCTGCATCGGTTTCATAAAAGCTTAAAAGATATTGTCACGATCAAAGTTAAATGAAATATTTTTTAAACCTCATTAAATTAAACTAAACAAAAAAACTATACTTAGTTGCATAAGAAAGTGTACACTTCGTTATACTCTAGCAAATTAACACGTAATTGGTCAGAATAAAAGTAAGTTTAGTGCGACAAATAAGCATTTTTAGAGAACTTTCTTATAGGAATTGAGATCCTGTACAGTAAGCTTTTGTACATGTATAATGAATGCTACGTACTAATAAAAAAGCTGTAGGTATCAGTTCGTATAGGAATTCAGACCCTGTACAGTAAGCTTTTGTATAATAAACGCTACGTACTTATATAATATATAAAAAAACTGTACATATCAGTTTATTTGATCTTGTTCACAGCAATATAAGGCTCAAAGCTCCCCTGCCTGAAAAGAAATATTTTTTTTTATTTCGCAGACGATTGTTACTGCAGATAACGAGTGCCTTACTGCCTCACACATTGTTATATATACTCATTTGCAACAGAAAGTATGCATCTGGTTAATTGGAAATTCTGTATATATGTATTTACTTGTGCAAAATAATGACAATTTGGTATAGAGATTTGCAACCGTTTAAACATTATCTGTTTGATTCCAACGCGGGTTTGATTTTGAAGTAGAAGGATCTCCTCTGCACAATATAAGGCTCTAAGCCCTAATCCAAGGAATATGTACTAGAGATTTCCGCGTGGCATTGTCGTTTTAGGACCGGCGATTTGTAATTCCTGTATATATAGTGTATAAAAACACCATTTTCCTGAGCCAACCTTTTAAACAACATTGGTCCGATTTCAATGCCTATTCGATTTGTACAACATGTACTTCTTCAAAGCAATATAAGGTCCAAAGCTCTCCTACTTGAAAAGAAATAGCAAGAGGTCGCTTTTTGGACAGGCGATTTGTTATGTTTGTATATAAATTGTTGAAATTTCCGTAAAAAACACAGTATTCTCGAGAAAACCGTGAAAAAATCGTTTGACTGATTCCAATGCGGATTCGATTTTTTTACAAGTTTGCTGGGTAAACTGTAATATAAGGCCAAATCCCTAACATAAGAGTTATGTCCAGGAGATTTCCGCATGGCATGGTCGTTTTTCCGACTTTCGATTGTTCTTTCTGTGTATAAATTCTAGAAATTTCCGTAAAAAACATAATATTCTCGAAACAACCGTGAAAAAAATCGATTTGCCTGATTCCAATGTGGATTCAATTTTGTACAATTTTGGAGGGTTTTCTTTGTACAATATTGAGTTCAAATCTCTAACCCAAAAAATATGTCCGGGAGATCTCCGCATGGCTTGGTCTTTTTTGGACCGGCGATTTGTTCTTTCTGTAAATAAATTGTATAAATTTTCAGAAAAAACACCATTTTTTAGAGCCAACTGTTTAAACACCATTTGTCCGATTTCAATGCGGATTCGATTTTGTACAAGTTTGGAGAGTCTTCTGTGCACAATATGTACAAGAGATTTCCGCATGGCATGGTCGTTTTTTTGTTCCGGCGATTTGTTCTTTCTGTTTATAAAGTGTATAAAAACACCATTATTTCAGAGCAAACCGTTTAAACACCATTTGTCTGATTGCAATACGGATTCGATTTTGTACAACTTTGGAGAGTCTTCTGTGCACAATATAAGGCTCAAAGCTCTAACCCAAGAAATATGTACTAGAGATTTCCGCGTGGCATGGTCGTTTTTGTTCCGGCGATTTGCTTTTTTTCTCTCTATAACCGTTAATCTACTTAGAAAGCAACATCTTAGTGACAACATCCTTCTCAATCTGAGAGTTACATTATGTCGGCACTTTATCAAAATATAATTTAGTGTAGTTCGACAAAAATGCATTTAAGAGAATTTTCTTATAGGAATTAAGATCCTGTCCAATAAGCTTTTGTGTAATGAACAGTACGTACTAATAAAAGAAGCTGTACATATCAGTTTATTCGATCTTCTTCTCAGCAATATAAGGCTTAAAACTCTTCTGCTTGAAAAGAAATAGCAAGAGGTCGCTTTTTGGACCGGCGAGTTGTTATGTTTGCATATAAATTGTTGAAATTTCCGTAAAAAACACAATATTCTCCAGAAAACCGTTAAAAATCGTTGACTGATTCCAATGCGGATTCGGTGTGTACAAGTTTGCTGGGTCTGTTTCACTGTAATATAAGGCCAAATCCCTAACAACAGTGAAAAAATCGTTTGACTGATTCCAATGCGGATTCGATTTTGTACACGTTTTGGAGGGTATTCTTTGTACAATATAAAGTTCAAAGCTCTAACCCAAGAAATATGCCCGGGTGGTCTCCGCATGTATTGGTCTTTTTTGGACTGGAGAAAATTCACCATTTTCCAGACCCAACCGTTTCAACATCATTTGTTTGATTCAAATGCAGATTCGATTTTGTACACTTTTGGAGGGTCTTCTATGCACAATATCAGGCTCAAAGCCCTAACCCAAGAAATATGTACTAGAGATTTCCGCGTAGCATGATCTTTGGCATGGTCGTTTTTCCGACTCGCGATTTGTTCTTTCTGTATGTAAATTTCAGATATCTTCGTAAAAAACATAATATTCTCGAGACAACCGAGAAAAATCGGTTTGCCGGATTCGATTTTGTAAAATTTTGGAGGGCCTTCTTTGTATAATATAAAATTCAAAGCTCTTACCCAAGAAATATGTTCGGGAAATCTCCGCATGACTTGGTCCTTTTTGAACTGGCGATTTGTTCTTTCTGTAAATAAATTGTATAAATTTTCGGAAAATACACCATTTTCCTGAGCCAACCGTTCAAACATCATTTGTTTGATTCAAATGCGGATTCGGTTTTGTACAAGTTTTGAGAGTCTTCTGTGAACAATACAAGGCTCAAAGCCTTTACCCAACAAATATGTACTTGAGATTTCCGCGTGGCATGCTCGTTTTTTGTTCCGATAGTTTGTTCTTTCTGTATATAAAGTGTATAAAAACACCATTTTCCTGAGCCAACTGTTCAAACACCGTATGTCCGATTTTAATGCCATTCGATTTCGTACAACTTTGGAGAGTGTTTTGTGCACAATATAAGGCTCAAAGCCCTAACCCAAGAAATATGTACTTGAGATTTCCGCGTGGCATGCTCGTTTTTTGTTCCGATGGTTTGTTCTTTCTGTATATAAAGTGTATAAAATCACCATTTTTCTGAGCCAACTGTTTAAACACCATATGTCCGATTTTAATGGCTATTCGATTTTGTACAATTTTGGTGGGTCTTCTATGCACAATATCAGGCTCAAAGCCCTAACTCAAGAAATGTATTCTAGAGATTTCCGCGTGGCATGGTCGTTTTGGGCCGACGATTTGCTTTTTTATCTCTTTATAACCGTAAATCTACTTAAAATGCAACATCCTCCTAAAACTGAGAGTTACATTCTTTCGGTTTTTTATCAAAATAAAAATAAGTTAGGTGCGACAAAAATGCATTTGAGAGAACTTTCCTGTAGGAATTAAGATCCTGTACGGTAAGCTTTTGTATAATGAACGTACGTTTGTATAATGAACGTAGTACTACGTTCTTATAAAAAACCGGGAAATATCAGTATTATATATATTATTTTATATATTTTTATTATATATCTTCATCATAGCAATATAAGGCTCAAAGCTCTCCAGCTTGATAAGAAATAGCAAGAGGTCGCTTTTTGGACCGGCGATTTGTTTGTAGATTAATTGTTGAAATTTCCATGAAGAACACAATATTCTCGAGAAAACCTTGAAAAATCGTTTGACTGATTCCAATGCGGATTCGATTTTGTACAAGTTTGCTGGGTCTCCTTTCCTGTAATATAAGGCTAAATCCCAAACGTATGTTTGTACACAGTTCAAATCATTAGGTGACCTTACAACGTATGATGTATATTATTTCATTGGTAAAACATGTTTGGAAATTCATAAAATCGTACATCGGTAACAATCTTTTCATATTAAATTGTATGACGTAAATGATGTCATTCCGTACAATCTGTAGCTACAAAGAAACAGTGGGTGGGTATGATTTATTTAAATAACCAGAGGCAATAACCATCTTTCTGGTAAGTTATGCGTGTCTGTTACAAGAAATTATAATTTGATAGAAACACAAGAATAGAGTAAAATAATCGATTGCACAAATCAGTACATTTAAAAACTCCATATGTAGAGCCTCTCACTTTATGTGTCTTACTGCTGAATTACAAACATATATTTTTTTTAATTGAAGTTTTATCAAATAAAACGCTATAAATGACAACTTGTGTGCAGTTTTTTATTTGAAATACAATAATATGGAAACAAAAATAGCCAACATGAATATTCTAGATGATCGGCGCTTTTAGCAGCCATCATGGACGCCATCTTGGATTCTGTATCGGACTTGAGTCAAATGAATATCCGCTGCAGAAACCGCAGACCCAGACGTACAATTTAGTATATAAATCTTGCTGTTGGCTGACATAGACCACTTCGGTGTCATTTTATTCAATCAATTCGTACTGTAATTGTAAAAATATCGGAATTACAAATTACCGTCCATTTGAAAGCGAAGTTGCAAAATTAAAAACAAGTTGCAGGCTCGGTTTAATCACGGTAGTGATAATTGCAAGCTACCGTTCACGCCCCCTAGCACTGACTTAAGCAAAATTCAACATTTAACATGAACTGGTAAATGTTTGAATTTTGAAACATCTACATATATGTTCATATTGCGGTTATCATGGAACCTTCGATCTGACACGTTAGTGCCATTCTATGGAAAGCAGCATAATGTCCCCAAATGAAAAAAATGTGTGTATCCTAGGGTGCATGTCCGTGCAGTCTGACCTGGCTATTTGCAGGTTACAAAGGTAATTACAGCAGGGTGAAGGCTTTATATGACATAAATATTACACATAAAAATGTCTGAGAAAAAAGGCTAAAATTTGATTAGCCTTTCGGGGCATTAAAAATTTTACAGTATATTGCCAGTGCTAGGTTGGCGTTGACGTTTACATACACTTTCAAGTTTAGTACATGATCAGTCTCAATCAAACCCAGTTTGCAACATTTTCAATTTTGTGGTTTTGGGCATTCGTTAGGGATTACGTTTTCTCTATTTTACAACATTTTGACTAAAGAACCTTCTGTCTGTCAACAAAGCTATTTTCCGAGATATATTTTCCAAGTTGTGAATCATTTCAATAATATTTAGTTAGAGAAAAGACAGACAGATTAATTTCACTTTAATATACACAGTCTTCTTTGCAAATACCACTACTGGCCATGAACAGGCTCAGTCAAACCGGGCCTGTAACATATTTAATTTGCCGCTTTTGGACGTTCTTTAGGAATTCTGTTTTTCTCTATGCTTGCTCAATTCTTGATACTAGATCGTAAATATAAAATGTTCTATTCTAAAACTATGAAATGTAGAAATTACTGAAGCTCATTGTATGATTATACATATTTTTATGCTGTCAAAAGTTTCAGTCAACATTTTTTTTAAACAGAATATTAATACATTTAAAATTTGATATTACAAAATTTACTCACATTTTGGCGTCGTCGTCGGCGGTAAATCAATATCAAATACAAAACACAGATGACAAAGACAAAGGATCCGGCGGCAATGCCAATAATGACTCCGGTGGCAAGCTCACTGGTACAGTCAGAATAATCCCCGCATGGATTGTACCCGTTACACACCAAACCGGAAGAGACGCAGCGTCCATTACTGCACGAGAACTCATCCTCGTGACATTTACCTGCAACAAAAAGGAATATTTCAAACTAATGAGGTTAATTTTTAAAGCATATCTCACTTTGTAAGGAAATTATATGGTTGAGACTTTGAAACTTGTCTGATTCTAGAGATAAGGAGTGTTCTTTGGGATTGGGTTTTTTTCTGAATTTTTATTATTTCGCAGATAACATAAAAAATTAAGAACCCTTAAGAATATATTTGCAGGCAAGTCTGGGATTTTTCCCAAGATTTCTGATGGTCTGGATCAATATAAACCACTATTAAATGAAGCTTAAATAAATATAAGATGTCAATTAATTAGAAATATGACTGTATCATTCCCAAGGTCATGGTAAAAAATCTTGCCTACTATGAGTGTTCTTTCTTCGTTAACCTGCTGTCCGCAAGTGGATCAACCCATGCAACTAGTGTAGACTGTTCGCTATTCAGTAGGGGAACTTTGTCATTTTTTTTCAAAAGAAGATGAATGGTTTTGTAGATTGTTTAGTACGACATAATTGTTATGTGTACATATTTGTGGTATTTTAGTTCCTTCTATCTATTTGATCTTTTTTCAGCTTGGGTGCAACCAGTTTTCCTACTTGAACACTGTATAATCACGCTTAGGATATAGGGCCTGTTTTTTTTTATTAAATTTGTATTTTAACGTGATATGCGATATGCCAGCTTCACAACCTCAGATCCCCCTTTAAAATTCCGCTTTGTTTAGTTCCGCCCATTGTTTTCTCGTTTTGGGCACACGCTTTCTTTTACTTGGAGACCATGCACCGCTTTTCATGGAATGGCACGAAAGTGTCACATTGAAGGTTCCATTAAAATCGCCGTATGAACACATCTGGGGATTTTTCTAAATTCAAAATATTATCCTTTTTTCATGTTTACATGTTGAATTCTGCTTAAGCTGGTGCTAGGGGACGTGAACGGATACTTGCACTTTTCACTTCTTTCAATTAACAAGCTCAATAAAACCGAGCTTGCAACATTTTCAATTTTGTCGCTTTTGCGTTCTCTGGGGATTTTATTTTCTCTATTTTGTTCAGAATGAAAAATGCACGAGTCCGCTTAATGTATTAAGCGTGTTCAGGGTGAAGCGGCCAAATATTTTAAGAAAAACATATATTAAATATAATATCAATAAAACTGTAAAAGGATGCAAGTAAAAGAAAGTCAAAATAAACATTTATAAATGAATATAGATATTAAATCAATAAAGCAATCTTGCTCAAATGACAATGGTTAAGAGCTTACCGGTATAATACTGAGTGATGATCATGTCAAACCCTCTCTCCTGTCGAATACTACTACTTTGAAAGTAGAGGAAAAGATAATTGCCGCTTGTTTTCCTTACAGAGCTACTCATGTAACTTCCACACTGCCTATTTGATAGTCCTGTAATATTCGAAAGAAAAATGTTCTCAATGCTTAAGAGCAAACACCGGTAATATTCAAGACAGAAAATCCTCTTATATTGAAGAGAAAATAAATCGGCATCAGTCAATGGATAAACTCTACGTTCATTGAACGCCGCCTTTCTTTGTTGATCTTGTTTATCATATTTTATCTGGTGATATTCAAAAGCAAAAATATCTCCTTTCCGCTGAAGTTTGTTTCTCTGTCACAAATAAAGATTTTCTCTGACACACAAACAAAAAAATATTTAACTGACCAGTTTTGGTACATTAGTTTCAGTTGGGCCAGGGTCAAATTTACAAACAAATGACAGTTTTGAAATTGAAATGGACAAATGAGCCGATAAATAATAATAGTTTGAATACTTCAAGGGCTTGTATTGGGTTTAAGTTATTTAAAAAACTAAGGTTTAAGTGGTGGTGGTGACCGCCTCCGTGGTCGAGGGGTTAGAGTCGATGACTTCTAATCCAGTTACCTTTCTGGCGTTGGTTCGATCCATGGGAGATGCTTTGGTAGTTTAGCGCGGAGGAATGTAGGCTACTACTGTTGTAACTCTCCAGGAACGATGGTTAGGAAACTACCCGCCTATATGACTGAAATACTTTTGGGAAAAGGCGTAAAATAAAACAAACAAATTAACAATCAATTAAGTGGTGGTGAGCCATATTTTTTAAAGAGTTCCTGCAAGAATCATGAAGCGCCCTCAAATCAGCAAAGTAATCAGACGACAAAGGAGTACATACTTTTCTCTTTGTATGCTTCTTTATTGTCTTTAGATTGAGCAATTTTAAGAAGCAAGAAACAAAGGAGCATGTTATTCTAACTGGTGAAATTGGGTGAAATTCTATTATTTTTGTCATTAGTTTTCGCGATAAAAATAGAACAGGACCATCTGCTAGAGAATGAAATAGAAAAAAAAAAACAATGTGATCCCTCGGAAGCATTAATCACAACAAAATAACATAAGAATTGCAGACTCGGTTTGATTGAGTCTGTACATGAGGATAATAGAATAAGTGCAAAACATCCCTCACGCCCCCTAGCACCAGCTTGAGCGGTACTCAATTGTCAACACTTAATAGTGCTGGATTTAATGATCCCGAAGGACCAGAAAAAAATAACAATCGGAAGTGAAGTGCGGGCAAATTTTTACGGCCGCCGCACGGCACTTGACACCAGCTGTTGTGATGTATACATATCTGGAGACAACGTGACCCCTCGGAAGCAAAAATCACAAACAAAATTACATAAGAATTGCAGACTCGGTTTGATTGAGTCTGTACATGAAGGATAATAAATAAGTGCAACATCCCTCACGCCCCCTAGCACGGCTTGAAGTGGTTACTCAATTCTCAACACTAATAGTGCTGTATCAATGATCCCGAATGACCAGAAAATATAACAACACTGAAGTGAAGTACGGGGCAACTTTTTACAGCTGCCACACGGCACTTGACACCTGCTGTTGTGAAGTATAAAATCGGGAAACAAAGTGATCCCTCGGAAGCATTAATCACAACAAAATTACATAAGAATTGTAGACTCGGTTTGATTGAGTCTGTACATGAGGGATAATAAATAATTGCAACATCCATCAAGCCCCCTAGCACCGACTTGAGCGGTACTCAATTCTCAACACTAAATAGTGCTGGCATCAATGATCCCGAAGGACCAGAAAAATATAACAACACTGAAGTGAAGTACGGGGCAACTTTTTACAGCTGCCACATGGCACTTGACACCTGCTGTTGTGAAGTATAAAAATCTGGAAACAAATTGATTCCTCGGAAGCATTAATCACAACAAAATTACATAAGAATTGCAGACTCGGTTTGATTGAGTCTGTGCATGAGGGATAATAAATAACTGCAACATCCCTCACGCCCCTAGCACCGGCTTGAGAAGTATTCAATTTTTAATAGTGCTGGCATCAATGGTCCTGAAGGACCAGAAAAATAAAACATCACTGAAGTGAAGTACGAAGTTGAACATGTATTATTGTCTGTTGAAGTGAGATAGTAAGTATATAAATGTTAATTATGAAATGCATTTATTTTAGATGTGTGATTAAAGAATTGTGTGTTAGGATTTGATTGTAATTGTGACGCGGTTATTTGTTTGCTGAGAATGCTTAAAAACTAATATATGTATTATTTCCAAGATACAAGAATTTATAATTCGATACATAGAGTAAGGGGTGATGATATACCAGATATACAGGGATTAAATTTTCTTTGATGTAAAGGGAAAGCTTTTTTTCTGATAATACCCAAAAAATGTTTACTACAATGGGAGTTTCAGAGGGAAGTGAGATAATTTTCCTAATTTGCACGCATTATTTATTCGAAAAAGTAAATCAACTCGATAAATAGAATAGGGGGAGATAATTTACCTGGTACAAACGGTGAGTTTATACTGTTGCCATCATGAACTTCAAGATAATCAAGGTTACATGAAGCACTTGTTTCGACACCGAAGTCCTACATACGAAAATTATTATAGATAACAATAAAGTCCTTCTATTTAAATAATCTACGATACATGCACATTATCTTTACACTATTTAGATATCATCAAAGTATCAAAGGTATTGCTAACACATAAAGATCTATAAACCATAAGCTGTAAAGACGTAGTGATCCATAGAGTTGATTTTTTTATCATAAATACATAAATGAAAAGTACTGCAACACTTTTCACTAGAATCGGTCTAACGAACGGCACAAGAATCGGTATTCAATTTAATTTGAGTATATTTCTTTATATTTTGCAGAGTTTCCAAATATCATTTTCCGCATGATTTGTGTAAAAATAAAAATATTTATGTTTTTCAGTGCCTTGACCTCAGTGGAGCTCCTTTAATAAGCATTGATTTAACAGAAATCCTAGTGTTATCTCTTTCTTTTCATAAGTCTAAAGCATAATAATCACCCAACCTTGAAGAAAAGCATCAAACGGTCCGTTGTGTTGGCAGTAATTAGTAGTTTACAGTTCATATTTGCCCTGTATGAATTGTGTCGTGTTAGCTGCAGTCGTATTTGATCAATGTAAGAGATGTCCACAACGCCATTACAGTTGTCTTCCATGAAGACTGAAATGAAAAGAACTTTAAAGAAATTGCACTGAGGTCCAAAAGGCTAAGCTCATAAAATCTATAATTCTGACATAGATAACCTGAGACACTTTAAACAGAAAGTTTCAAAGATAGTAAAGATATATACTCATCTTATTTTCGCGCTATTCTTAGCCCAGTTTTAAGACGTTTTTTTTTCACAATAACAATAATGGTTCTAGGGAAACAGAGTGAGTGAATGATCTGAAACTTTGCCCACAAGTTATTGATCTAAACCTAAATCAAATTGCTGAAACAAACCTGAAACGGCTTAAAAAAGAAGTTTATTTTTATCAAAAATCGAAGAATGCTATGTCAAGTAAAGCATTTGTTTCGTCATTTTGGATGCAATTTCGATACTTAATAACCCAAAATGACGTTGCTAGTACTTTTACCAAATATTAACTATAGTGTATTATCTATTACATTCAGACACATCTTAAGTGATTTAATTACCGTAAAGTAAATGTCTGATTCGTGTATGGAACATGATCAAAAACTCCCCTTTGGCTCAACGCAAAAATATTTCAAAGAGCTTGCCAATGGTTGAAAATATTTAAAATACATGTAATTATCATTTGCTCAAATGTGATTGAGTCATCGACAGGTGCTGGCGCCATCGGCAATGTAAAAGAGCCCTCACAAATGTGATCAAGCCAATACAAATATTCAGTTAGTGTCGAGTTATAACTATTTTTGTGTTGAGCAAATTGTGGTAGAGAAATCACTTAAGATGTGTCCCCTTGTGAAAGAAAATACATGAGTTGATATTCGGTAAAATGTCAAGCAACATCATTTTGGAGTATTTGGTACCATAATTGCATCCCAATTGATAAGAAAAAACATTTTTTCAGAAAGTTTGAATCACTATTTTAAAATCTGAAATGAGATAAACATGAGTAACGTATAACTGATGACTGAAAGTGTGATGAATGTGCAATGTAAATGAATGTTTTATTCTTTTTTATCTATTTGTAATCAAGTTACATGTATGTAAATAATCTTATCTCATGCTACATCTATATCAGTTTTATCATTTTATGGTCTCTATTTTTTTTTAAAAATATGTTAATTGGATTGTATTAAAATTTTTTTTATTTGATGTTGATCAATATTCTTATGTTTAAAATTTTTTTTTTTAATTTGTGTATGTAAACGCTTGAATTTTTTAAAAATGAAAAGGGGTTTTAATTAAATAAAAATTTTTAAATTTTTCTTTTAAGGATCCCAAATCTCTAATCTAAACAGATAATCAAAATAAAATGTCAAAGAGCTACTGTAGTTAAGTAGAGGTGTAAAAGCTATGTGATCAGTGTATCAAAATGATAAAAATATTTATGGTGATAAAATGCGTACAAAACAAGGAAGTTTTGTTTGTTTTCCCTGTATTTTTACGCCTTTCACACATATCCCGGTAGTCGCTCTGCTGTTTATTAACTAGTAACTGACAATTTCACTTAGCTGCCGCTTTTCATAAATTATGAATAAAATTAAAAAAAAACATACATGTAAATAAATGATCATAGTACTCACAGTATACTATAGCACCAACACAATCTAGACTTAACAATAAAATCACACTTACTGATGGAAAACACTTCATGGCTGCTGTAATACGTTTAAACTCGGATTAATATCGGATTTAGTATTTCCAAATTATCGTGTAAGTCTTGGTAGCTCTGTTAAACTCCCGTACCATTACCGTGTTTATGTTCCGTACAAAAACAAAAAATAAGTCTATATAAATATAATGTCTATACATGCATAAAGTTGAAAATAAATAACCGACATACGCAATTGACTAAATGTGATACGAATTTTTTTATAATTAAAACCAAATGTTTCGCAATGTATTCTCTTTGAAAATTTTTATTGTGGTCCCCACAGACCTTAAAACCGTTGATAAAAAAATAGAAAAGTAAAAGGAAAATGATGAAAAAAATTAAAATGTTTTGTAAAAATTTTTGTTATAAAATAAATGCGTTTGTAAAAAAAATTTGAAGGGGCCCTTTTAAAATTGAGAGGAGGTGTTTTTTTCCCGAATTTGAATAAACCTTTAACTTTGTAAGGGAATTGTCTTCGAGGAATGCTGCAAAAACGAAAACGTACGAGGAGTTTTGGGCGTTTGAGAATACTTTACGTATGAGGAATACTGGAAGTATGAGGATAATTTGACATATGGGGACTACTGGACGTATGAGAACTACGGGAAATATTGGACGTATGAGGATAATTTGACATATGGGGAATACTGGACGTACGAGGGCTACTGGGAATACTGGGCGTATTAGGATAATTTGACATATGGGGAATACTGGACGTACGAGGACTACTGGGAATACTGGATGTATGAGGATAATTTGACATATGGGGAATACTGGACGTACGAGGGCTACTGGGAATACTGGACGAATGAGGATAATTTCACATATGGGGACTACTGGACGTATGAGAACTACTGGAATACTGGGCGTATGAGGATAATTTGACATATGGTGACTACAAGACGTAATGAGGCTACTGGGAATACTGGACGAATAAGGATAATTTGACATATGGGGAATACTGGACGTATTAGAACTACTGGGAATACTGGGCGTATGAGGATAATTTGACATATGGTGACTACAGGACGTATGGGGCTATGGGAATCGGGACGTGAGGAAAATTTAAAAAGGGAAAGGTAAAAAATATGGGAAAATGGAGTTGAGGTACTTGACATATGGGGATAGGGCGTATGAAATACGGGGAAAACGGGACAAATGAGGATAATTTGCATAGGGTGATACAGGAGTATGGAGCTATGGAATTTTGGGCGTATGGGGAAAATTTGATATAGGGGGAAATTGAGTACGGGGATACGGGTATGGGATGGGTCTTGTTTTGATTTTACTGGAAAAAGGGAAAATTTGGGGTATGGGAAAAGGGATACAAAAGATATTGGTTGGGACGATGGAGTATGGTGATAAGTTAAATTTGGGGAAATCTGTATGTATGGACTAATGAAATTTTAGGACTTCTGAAAAGTGATTTATTGGGAGTCAGGATTTTGAGTAGGGAAACTTTTTAAATTTTTTTATAATGAATGCATAAATTTACTAGTGGAGAGATACTCGGGTGCCCCTTCGTGCATTATTGAGACACAGACGGGCACCTAAGTAGAACCACGACGTACCGTAGGCAGCTGGATAAATGTAAGAATCATATGTCCTTACAGAATTTGATTTCAGTAGAAGCAGTCATGTATTTGTGTATATTTGGCGAGAAATGAACGGAAAGAAAGCAAAATATGTCAATCTTTTATTATAATGAACTAAAAAACGAAAATAACATTTTTAAATGAATCTACTACAAAATAACATGTCAAGATTCATATGACCCGTGTTTGTTTCAATTGTAATATAAAGTCTTTCATATATTGATGAATTGAATCATGAATAAAAAATTATAATGTGCTTGTAAAATTATTCATAAAAGACAAAAGATCCAGAGACGCATTGTATCATCCAAAGAAATTCTGGGATTCATGGACAGAATCCATTTTCCTCCCTACTTAGTTTTAAAGATAATATTTACAGATTGTGATCCCTAATGAGCAAATTTGCAAGCCGCCATAGTGTTAACTAATCATAAAATAATCACGTGATATTGTCACGATATAGGCACGTGACGTTGCTGACTTCGTTGAATATCTATTTCTTAGGTTATAACACGAAATGAAATATGTCACGATCAAGGCATGTGACGTTGCTGACTTCGTTGAAGGTATATTTGGTTATATAAAACTATACATATTATATAATAAATAACACATCATAGAGGAAAGTCGAAGTTAAGTTTATAACTTTAGATGAAGCACTCAACACATAGTGATCAACAGTTAAATATGAAATATTTCTAACACATAAAATCAGTTCCAAATGTTCAAAGTATACAGTTTGCCAAAGCAATCTCACTGCCCACTCAAGGAATGTTTAACTTTTATTTAATATGAGCAGTTGTTACTATTTACTATAGTAGCTTTGTATTAGAATCATTGCTTAAAACCTGCATAAACAATTCTTAAAATGTTGCCTTAAACCTTGGATAAAATAGCTTGAACAATTTATAATGTTTTTCTAATTGTCAAATTTCTAACCTTGATAACGGCTTAACGCTTTCCATAGTTTAGAATAAACGCGAGAACAAAATATCGGACCGGTGAACCGTGTCAAAATAGCAGAAAATATGTGTAAATACTTGTAATAAATGAAACAGCTTATCAAAACCCTAAGTAAATTAATATGTTCATATAGATAAAATAACCCGCAAACCTAAGTTTAATTTTAGAAATTTATAGAGCGTAGCTTTACGTTGCTGTTTCTGACTTAAAGCTGCATGCCTTCAGATGTGTCAAAATATTTTAATAAAATCAAACTTGAGAAAAATGTACTAAGATGTAAGGAAAGGTAAACAATTTCAAGATTCAAGTAATATTTTACAAATTATGTGCGATTAATGACTCATTTTTCAGTATTTACAACCATATTTCTACTGCGATACTAACGCAGTAAAGGCTATTTATGCATATTTTGGCCACATTTTTTTGTAATTTACGGGGTTTTTAGGTACCTTGATAATGTGTAAACTGCTTCCTTTTGGCTAATTCACAATATTAAACATTCAAATACATTTTCAAAATTTTCATGAAATAAGCATGAATTTGGAGTCGTGCTGCTTAAAGACTCCCCGAAATCTCAGCCTATTTATACTAAATCTGCAACCGCAACCAAAATGCACCCAAAAGTTGACTGATCACCCCAGAAAATGGTTGCAGGTAAATGCACCCCAAAAACAGTCTGCTAGCAACCAAAAATGTACTCAACGAAATGGTTTATCACCCGTTAAATTGAGTGCAATCTTAGAAAAATTTGAAAAAATTGATAAAACAAGAAAATATGGCAATCGCGGCAAAGTTTTTATTACATTTTTAAAGTAAAAACTAGTTTCACGGGCTTACTTTAAGGGTTTTGAATTTGTTTGTATAAAAACAATCCACAAAATTTTGGAAAAAAGGGGTTATGTAAAAGTTAAAAGTGTTTACAAAAATTTTAACTTCAAATAATTTATGGATTTTAAAACATTTAAAAGGTGCTAAAAAACATTTTGGGTTTTTTACAAATGCAACCCCTGTTTTCATAAAGTTAAAAGGTTTTTTGAAGGTATAAACAGTTGAAAAATTTCATTCCCCAAAGTTGGTCCAGTCAAAAAAAAATAAGAATCCAAGGCTTTCAAAATGTGGCAAAAAAAGTATTAAAATATTGTATGAGTGTATTTTTGTATTTATAGGGAAATATGCCTCAAAATTTTGTTTTATGCTGTTTTTCCAAAAATTTTGTCAGAATCTATTTTAAAGATTATACAACCCCAAAAAGTAAAAAGGGAAAAAATATTAATCGATAAAATTAAATAATATATCTTCATAAATACTAACAAAAAATAAAATGTAGTTTTTAAAAATTTAAAAAACATGTCAATAAAAGTAGGATTGTCCAAGAAAAATATCAAGTTTCAAAATCAAACTAAAAAAATTTTTTTTTTAAAAAAAAATTTAAAAATACTTATGCTTTGTAAAAATATTAAAATTTTATACCCCATAGTTTCAATATATTAAAGAAAATGCAAAATTGTAATTAAAAGATTTTACTATGTTTCTGTAATTTTTTTTCCCCTTTACTTTTAGATACGTTTCTTATTTTTCACGCCCATGTTTTATGGTCCTTTCAAAAAAGGGGGCCCCCTTTTGGAATTTAAAAGTGTAAAATTCTCAATCGGTTTCCCATGAACCCCCTGCTTTGTCTTTCCTTTAAATTTACAATCGGAAGGTCGATGTTTTTTTTCCTTCAAGTCACTTCGAATCCTATTTGAAATTAAAAATTATATCTATTTACAAAAGACGAAAAGAAAATTTACTTGAAATTTTATAAATATATTAATTTAAAAGCAAAAAATAAATAGTATGGACACACTACCATTCCAAACAATTATGCTTCAAGTTTCGAATTTCAAGTTTATGTTTCAAACAATTTTGTGAAAAACTATCAACGCAAATGACAAAGAAAAAAGTCTATAAAAATAATATCGTATCGATTAATATTTGTAGTCAATGGGTAGCTAGTTCCACTTTGGACCAAAGAGAAATTTCTCCTTGACAATTGATCGCTTTGTCGGTCAACTGGCTTAAATAATTCCTACATGTCAAAACTCAAAACTGGTGTTAAATATTCAATAAACATAACTGAAACCAATATTATTTCGTAAATAAAAAAAATGTACTCTTTAATTGATTCTTCCCTCTAGTAAAACAGTATTTTATATTTAATTCTTTCATGAGAACGTTGAGATATAGGAGGAGAAGTGCACACTGAGGTGAAATTGTTGACGACAGACGGACCACCCGACAGGCGTCAACACCATGATTATATTCTTTCAGATACCTTGATTAATTTGATTATTTCAATTATGACATGGTAATCCTATCAAGAAAATGTCAATGGATAATTAATGTTAGGTATTATCATTTGTCAAAGGACTTCTCTCAAAGTATTAATATGATGCCATTATCATTTTGTTGTTGCATTCAT